AGCAGGAAGTGTGGGCTACTACCGATCTGACGTACGATGTGGTTTCTAAATTGCCTCTCCTCAGAACTGGTATCAGTTTATGATGCTCCTGAGTTCAGAACTTGTAGCTTCCAGCGTCATTCATCCCTTTCCGATTCTGCTTTTGGTAACAGGATAAAGTTCTTGGAACTGTAGTACAGCATATCATCACCGTTCGCGGGGGTTACGTTCTTGAAAATCCTTGCAAACGGCATCGCCGAGATGCCAAATTAAGCACTTGGGAAATGGGGGTCAGGGGAACTACAGGCACACGAAACATGATTCTTAATATGTGTAATTTATGATTAAACATGAAAATATTAGTGTTGGTGTTTATTGAGATTACGTCGGCGTTTCTGGCTGAAAGTTGGCAGGGTGATCGAACACAAGGGCAACAGTTCGTTTTAAAATTGCGAAAAGTGCAGTCTTAGTACACTCGGGGTGGCACGATATCCTCGTAGCAACCGAGAGAGACTCGCTCACTTCTGGACAGGATACCTGCAGAAAGAAAAGTGCTGTGTTTACTGAAGAAAAGTAAACGAAATGGAGGCTGGGATGGAACACAGACTGCAGAAATAATTGGGACGCCCTTTACAAGAGACCGGCATTTGACATCGTCAGCATTGAATTTCAACCTATTTAAATACGAGCATTATATTGAGTGTGAGTGTGGACCGGGACATCTTTTTCAGCACCCTCAAAATAAAGGCGAGTTTATTTTATTGTTTTTGTGGAGCGATACTTGGCTTGTATCGAAAAAGTCTTGTAGCGCTTGGCGGTGAGTCATGCAGTTCTGCTGGGAACCTGGAAGTGACAGTTGCATGTAACTATGTTAGCAAACGTATCGTATATTTTAGAGGGGGGACTCTTCTGTCAGATTGGGTTTTGAGAAACAGTGGCGCGTGTGGGAGGACATGGAATTCTAAAATGAAGTGTAAGTGAAATGGTCTGTTATTGAGGATGATCAAGAAATGATTATTGCGTTAGGAAAATTCATGGCAGCCCGCCATTTCATTTTTTTCAGTAACTGATATTTCTTTGAGAAATTCTTAACCCATTGAAGCCGAAGTTCATCTAAATATCGTTTAAAGATTCTGTTCCTACTGAAAAGAAACCACAACACTTATCAATTACAATGTTCAGTTGGTTAATGCTGTTTAAGGAAATAATAGTTCTTCATACTGAGAATCAAACGAATCCCATCAGTACGCTGTGTTGGCAAAATGCAGAGTTACTCGTTGTTAGAACAGGTGGTACATGTAGATAGCATTGAGCTTTAAATGGTTTTTGCCTCGGGAGGAAAAATAATAGGTCTGGTCTCAGTGTAAATTGAATGGGATCTGGCACAAATTTAATACTGTTACTCAGCGGTATAATTTGAGACCACTGAATATTCGTAATTAAAAGGAATTTGTATATATGTGTAAATCGATGCGGTCTATTATTGCATTGCAGTTAGAATATTGCTTCTCTAATCCATAACATTTAAATTATCAAGTAAATACGTTTACCAGCTGCCTCACTCCTATACCATTTCGCCAGCCTCTGTTAGTCTATGTACACACGACTTTGAACGCAGAGATAAAAATAAGGACTATTAAATGGAGATTCGTTGCTATGTTGCGCCGTATAGTGTTAGATGTTTTCCGACGTTTCAGATGTGCCCTTCTGCCTTCATCATCAGGGCGAGTACATGAAATCTCATACTATAAATGCATTCAGTTTGCCCAGCATAAACAGGATTCAAGAAATAAATTTTGTCCTCTGGTCTTACGAGACCGCTTATACAGCATTAGCATGGTGAGACACAGGGTGGGTGGACATATAATCGATTCAGTATACGTCAGTGAAGTTACGAAAACAGCTCGCGAGGCTTAAACGTGTTCGTAGGCTGGGGGTGATCAAACTGCTACTCATGGACAGTCCATATTTAGCTGTTATTAATAATGCCGCTATTTATTAGATCACTTTTTATTTCCCGTCAGAAGAGAGGAGGGGGCATTGCAATGGCAGAAAATACAAAACCAATAGGCATACCTCGGAGATATTGCGGGTTCGGTTTCAGACCTCAGCAATAAAGCGAGACACGAATGTTTTAGTTTCGCAGTGCATATAAAAGTTATGTTTCACTATACTGTAGTCTATTAAGTGTGCAACAGCATTATGTCTAAAAAACAATGCGAGAACATTGCGAGAATTACCAAAGTGTGACACAGAGACACGAAGTGAGCACACGCTGTTGGAAAAATGGCGCCTCGACGCAGGGATGCCACAAAACTTCAATTTGTAAAAAAAAACGCAATACCTGCGAAGCGCAATAAAACGAGGTATGTCTGTAACTGTTTTTCTCCGGCAAGCTTCCACATCCTGTTGTGAAACTGAACAAAGATGAAGAGATTACCTTTGAAAGACGTCAACACTTTAAAACACACCGCAGGAACAACGACATAAGGGTTACGTGTCTGCGAAGGTTGTAAGACAGCAGCTCACGTCTACAAAGTGAATGTGACAGTCAGACTTCCTTGTACGACGGACATGACATGGTTTCCAGAAACAGAGGGCAGAATCACACAGCATTTGGTCACTGCCGGAAGAAATATGACATTGCCTATAGAAAAGGTCGTGCTTGAATATGGCATCGAAAAGCTAGACTTTAAACATTTACACATTCTTGTTGCAAACTTACCGGAGGCGTAGTTACGTTGAATGCTCATATTTGCACGTTACGCGAGTAGGAGGCCGTATTGTTCTGTGTTCTGTGTATGCAGTATTTTCCGAGAGATTTCTGTATACGAATGAGTGACATGTTATGAAAACAGGTTTTGAGGTCTGGGAAAATCAAATTCCATTTAAATGCCAGGACAGTATGACCACTTAAATATGCTCTTTGATTTGTAGTTTACTAATAGCCTTGCCATTCGACGTCACATTACCTAGGCAATTGAAAAGGCGCCTTTAAATGAACAGTCAGAAGACAGCCATAGTCTATATGAGTGATTGATACTGATCTGTGTAATGAAGGTATTGTGTAGTGTCGAATAACTTCGAAGTATGGTTATGAAGAATGTTGAAGATTTTTTGAAGAGGCGGGCATGGCTTGTTTTACGATATTAGTCGCCTGAATTTGCTGAGGACAACCATCAAAGCTGTCGGGATATTCGATGACGCGGTCGAGTGTCGAATCACGTACTTCCTGAATAGAAGTCTCGAACTTTTTTGTTGTCACATAAGCAAAAATATCATATTGTGAAAATTTATTTCTGTGAACCTGCGTACCAAATGACACTCACTTCGATGTGTGAACTGTATAGTGGTGTAGGAATTTCAAAATATGCGTTTCGAAAAATTCGTACTTGTCATCTCATTACCTGAGTTTATACGCTACAGTTGGATTGTCTTGTAGTTTATTGATCGAACGCATTTATCACCTCATTGGATATGCAAAAGCTTTATTATACAGAGTGATTCAACTATCCTGAAGTTGTTGGAGATAAAATTTGAATAAGAAAATGCAAATACGTTCTTTACAGATTCGCCACCGTTTCCAGTGGCGCTTGATATGATTGTGTGTTGGGACTCCGCGCTGAGTGTTCGTGTAAATACAAATAGTTGAAGCGCAGTTACCAGATTTGGACAGTGGCAGTGATGACTAAGTCTGACAGGACGTCGTATCTCGGGAACGGTGACTAATCTGAAGAAAAATATCTTTATTTAAATTTTCTGCCCCACGTGATCTCTTCTGGTGACAAGACATGAACGCGTACTTACATCTGTCTAAATTTACTTCTAGACAAACTTTCTAACGTCTAATAGGGTGTCGCGTGTTTTCATTTGTAATGTTTCAACACATTTTAATTAGCTTAGCTAGTTTAATAGGTGTACTAAGTGCATTAAGAATATTGTTTAATACCGCCCTCATAACTGAATCATAGGCTTTGTTGAAGTTATAATTATCGGATATACAACTTCATTGTAATACCGTTCTTCTCTAGTATCTGCTGAATGCATCATATCTTGAGTTGTTGATCGAATACAATGAAAACCACCTGATGGTCCCCAGTAATGATTCGACGTGCAGAGTTAACCTTGACAGAAGAATGAATGGCAGAGTTTTGTATGTAGTTGATAACTGATATTCCTCGATAATTACTACATCCGTTTTATCTGCTTATTATAAATAAGTATAATAATAGATTCCTTCTTATTCTAAATCGAATTAGTAAGTTTGTGTTGGATCTCAGTCAATAATGTTCATCCTGATTGAATCCTTTGTGTTTGAATTTGATGGATATCTGGCGGTTTGTATCTTCAACTTTTGAATCTTAGCCTCAACATCTAAATAGCTAGTGTAGTTGCAAATGGCTCAGTCGTATACATCAGTGTAGCATCGTTAACCTCACGTGTGCCTGCATTCAGTAGCTGGCAAAAGCAATTCTTCCACCTATTCAAAATTCGGTTTGAACCTGTAAGCATATAACCAATCTCAAAAAGTTATTGGTTGGTTTATAATTTTTTTGTTCTTATTGTTCTTTTCGACCTCAGTACTTTGTCTTCCAGACACCCCCCTACTCGCCCTTTGATCTCGACATTTAATAACATTGAATGTGTAACAGTTTCAATGAGCACTACCACCCTGCCACTCCAACAAATACAGGATGTTTCATAAGTTTTCTGTCACATGCATGGAGATATAAATATCGACATTTCCTTTGCGTTGCGCAGACATGGTTCTTGTACGTTTCTGTCTAAAAGCTGCGACCTTCCTACCATAGTCAAACAAGCTTCTGATTTTTCTCCAGCGTCACGTGACCATAGTCCTCACTGTATTCTCACTGCACGCGGAATTAAAAAAAAACCGTGTAGAATTTCTCCACAAGAGTGGATAAAGCTTATGAAACACTCTGTATAATTAATTAACTTTTACCAATTGCACTGACGAAAGTTTACCCTCCGACTAAGCTAACGTCTTTCTTTATTTGCAGGCTGTTAGCACAGAAGAGATGGTAGTGGATGACCCTAATGAGGTGAGTTAATTTAAGTGTTAATTATTCTTGTACTTTGGGGGGAAATGAGGAAAG